GCTAATTTTCCCCATTTGCAAATACAAGTCAATGGGATCAAAAAATAACATTTTAAATAAAGGGAAAAAATAAAACTCTTGACAAAATAGTTAAGCAGGGTTAAAGACAGCACCTAGCATACAGCTGTAGCAATAAAAATTTTTCAGTCTCCTGCTAGAGAGGCAGTGCTTGTCCAGCTGCTCGCTTTCCCCTGCTAAGGTAGCCTTCACTCAAAATTTAGGACTCTTGTGTCCTGCAGGGCAGCAAGCCCTGGTCAGCTTCAGCTTTCCCACACACCACGTAAAAAACTCTTCCCAAAGACCCCTTTCCTACTTTCTAGCCTTTGTACCCCATGCTGAAAGTAAATGCCTAACACTCCTCAGGCACAATTAAAAAGTCTTAACTGACCTTGACTCCTCTATACTCTTAGAGGTATGAACTTTCCTCCTTTATGATAAAAAGCTCCCTTTCAAACAGAAATGTTTCTCAAATATAATGAAACAGCATACACAAACCAAACATGTTTTAGACCTATCTACCGTTCCTTTCCATTCCTTGTCCTTTTGCTTTGCCAGTTGCCAGCCAGACTCCTTTTCTAGTCTGACTTTCTTCCCCCCGAGGAATTCTTGCGGTGGGAGAGAGTGCCAGAGATTTGCTTTCACTTTGGGACTCAGCCACCAGTGTTACCCACAGTTAATGTACCTTTAATACGATACAGCCAGTAATACTTTCTGCCAACCTCTTATCATGTGCCAGCTGAAGAATGCTGTGAAGTAATGTCCTCTAACTAAATCTCAAAGCCCAGGTATGAGCTCCTGATTAGTGGTGGGTGAGATTACTAGGGATGTATGTATATACCCCTCTGTTTCTTTGCCAGCTGGCATTTCTCCATGCTGTAGGATATCTGTGGAAGCAGGATCCAGAGATCCTTCTGTTTTTGCAGCACATGCATAAGGCAAACCTACCAGAGGGTTTTTCCTGGTAGCTTCATTTTCTGCCTCAAGCAGTCATGTAACACTTCTGTGTGTGGTTAATCGATGGTCTTGATTTACTGGGTAAGTTATGGCATTTCAGTGATGCGTGTAAGGCGATCTTCATGTGTATAGTTGTATATGGAACAATTTCACCGGTTAGGTTTCTTCAGGAATGCACTATCATTTCCATGGAGGTTTTGGGGTTTTTTTGGTTTAGTTTTTTTTTTGTTTTGTTTTGTTTTGGTTTGGTTTTTTTTTTTTCTTCATGGATCAGCAGAGACAAAGGAGACTGAGTGTAATGAAGTTTCCTTTCTTGGAAGATTTTTTTTTTTTTTCCTTTTTTTTTTTCCCTCTGTAAGTAAGGTTTATGTTCACCAGGTAGTATAAAGGTTGAAATATTAAGGGAACCAGAGGGAAGTGACTGAGAAGGTCTTTCTGAGGATGACAGCTCTGCCTTGTAATACAATACTATTTCTCATGGGAGTGGGTGGAAGGCCTGCCTAAATTTCCTCTTCCTGTCCTGCCAGATTCCCCAGATTGCATAACTGTGTATTCTCCTTACACAGTGGTACCCTTGGCATCCCTAGCAAATCTGCAGGGAAGCAGTGAAGCAGCTGGAGGCTTGAAGGTGGACCAAAATTGGTAGAGGACAGGCTTGGTTAGCCAAAAACCAAAACAAACCCAAACCCACAAACTGAATTTACTAACTCTCCCATGTATAACAGAACAACACAATACAGATTTAATAACATACACTATTTTGTTCTAAACACACTCCATCTAGGAAAAATAAGTTTATCGGGATAAGCAAAGAATCCATGGGGAGTTCATCAGTTCAGTTTCAAGTCACAAGATGTGTTTTACTTGGCTTTGGAGCCTTCTTGTGCAAGATTAATGTGAAACTGCTGAAATACAAACTGACAAAAAGACATATTTTTACTGGTTGGTGCTTTTTCCTCTGTGCCATTATTTTAATCGGGAGGCCTCATCACTGCCTTTCCCATCACCCCTGCCTTAGACTGACAGCAGTATGAGGTACTTCTTGGCTTCTGTGAGGAAATGAAAGAATGACTATTGGAAAAGCAGCATGACCAGTGTACCTCATAAGGATGTAACCCTGAAGGCTTTTGCTTTGTCACTACACTGAATCAGAAGAGAAGAATTTGGACTCCTTTAGAGGGGAGTGTCAAACACGGCTATCCTGGGGTAGGTTTTGCTTGAGTAAAGAAGGAAAGATTTGCCTCCTTTGGAAAAAAATATTTAAGTTTCTTAAAAGTTCAAGTAGCCAAATACATTACTTTTGAAGCATTGATAAGCTTCACTGTAGTCTACCCTAGCCGTGTATGCCAGCTGACTGACATTAAGACAATAAAAAAGCAAGTATACCTGCAAAGGTTTTGATAATCCTGCTCTTACTGTCTGTGTACAGCACCTTAAATAGGCTCAGTACTGTCGCTGGGATTGCTTGAGAGATCGGGTACTACTCAGCCTGTGTAAGGGTGGGAGAATCTGGCTCCAAATGGTTTCTTTTTCTCCTTGCTACAGGAACTGGAAAAGACAAGGGTGTGTGGGCGGGCCTGGAGTCCCTCCAAGGAAAGTGTGAGGCCTTGGGCAAAACAAATCCATCAGGTCTCTCATTTCTTCCAAATATAGGTCTGTTCTGAGCAATAGCCAAACTCAAGTCTAAGCTCTGCATTCAACTGTTTCAGAGGGAATACATGAAAAAGACCCTATGGCCTACAGAGTCCATCTATAGAAAATATTTTGATAGCTCTTCCGCTCTGACATTATCTTCCACTTAAAAAGAAAGAAAAAGAAAACACACAAAACTAGTGTGTGCACATGGTTCAATTTTCACTGTAAAACAACTGATTGATGAAAATATTTCTGAAAACAATCTGTTGTGAGCTATCAAGCATTTTTGCCTATGCACCGATTGTCAGGAAGCAGACAGATAAATTATTACAATATGTAACAAAAGAAATTTCTCTGAAGAGAAATGGTATTTGTGTGTGTGCATGTGTGTGTATGAGCAGGATAAGTAGAATTAAATCCATAAAAGTATTTTGAGAGATCATCTTCCACTATCTTCCACCACTGCAGAAATATACTGGAAGCAAAGGAATTCACTTCAGCTCTGTCCCTGTCTGAATCTCTAGCAAAAGAGGGTTTATGACATGCAAATGTTCTCCTGGAGTAGAATAGAAGAATCCTGGACTTAAATGAAAAAAAAAAAATAAAAAATACAAAACTTGGGATGTTCCTGCTGTTGAGGGGAAGGGGTCTCATAGCCATTTTTGCCAAGATACTTCCGAAATTTTCAGGCATCACCACACTTTAATAAAATGGAGCAGTTGCAGCAGGTCCCCAGACCTTGAATACTCTATTACTGCCCATGGGAGAATGTTCTGAAGTGCTTATAGACCTGAAGATTCAAGACACAAAATCCCATTACCTTTCAATAAGACAGTTTCTTTAGGGTCTGGCACATGAACAAATTACGGTGAGATAAGCTGTGTGTGAAGTAACAGCATGTGAAGTGCTCTGTTGTGATTTTCTGTGTACATGTTCCTAAGCCACAGTGACCAGTTAAGGCAGAGATGACGAGTCCTTTTCCATCAAGAGCCAAAATACCTCACATTTACCTTAGAGTTCAGAACATGTACCCTGTCAGTCAGTGGCTAGCAGTGGACAAACTTGCTGTCTGCCACATGCTCAACATTCTTTTGTAAAAATAAGTAGAGCTTTTAAGCTGCACAGGATAAATCTACCTTGATGTTTGTGGATCACTGTCACCCAGCTTGAGCCATGAGATCCACATTGCCCCTGCTTACACCGTACCTCTGTCCTGCATCGACCTCGTCTGTTTGCACTGCTGCTGAGAGGGAATCCTTCTAGTCTTGAGCCTTGTCTTCTTTTCCAGAACTAGTCTCTACTTGTGGATAGTAGAGGAAGAAAGGGGATGCAAAGAATATGAAAGCCTCAAAAAGGCAATTATGGGATTGAGTCTGTGAAACGTGACCTGCAGTGTGTACATAAATTTCAGACGCATCTCAGGGAGGGCAAGGAGAGGGAGGCAAGATGAGTTGGAGCACATATCTGATATTATTTTCATAGGAACGCTATATGGCTACTAGTGATTGATGTTAGATTTTACACTAGATGTTCTGTAGTTGTGGCCTTTTGGTTATTATTACAATCATGATGACACCAATAAGAAACAAAGTTTTTTTAAAGGTCTCCCATGAAAAAACAATGAGAGTCTATTTCTTAAAGGCTTCTTTGAATATCCTTTCTGACACCCAGATTTCCTTCCCAGAATCCGAATCACCCTTTCAAATTATGCATCCTTGTATGTGACAGAGCCAGAATATCATGGGCCTATTATTGTCTGCTTTTTTTATCCAAGGGACAAATACTCCGTGATCTCAAATATGACAAGAAATTATTTTCTCATATTTGAAGGCTACTGAATGAAATGAGTGTCTAAAAAGCAAATAGTGAGCAGAAGTAAAGGGTTCCTCTTACAAACTCTTGCATTTGCACATTGTAAGGGAACCATTCATAGTTTGTGAGCACAATAGCTGATAGTAATTGCTAGCAGAAATGAGCTGGCTGCAAGGACTGCTAACCGTAGGCAGCTAGCAAACCTAAAAGACTGTGATCATGTCGTTTAAGCAGCAAGTAAAAGACTGTGTGGATGAAGAGTCACTCTACTGTTATGTGACAGATAACTTGAAAAGGTGTTCGGTGAATCAAAAAACCCTGTAACAGTCCAACAATAACAGATAAATACACTCCAAACAGCTGTAGCTACCTACCAAAAATTACACTAATTTGGTCCTGTTTGTCATTGAAACATACTCAATAGGAACTCATTAATGTGTCTAAGTTAGCAGCTTAAATTACAGTGAAAAGATTAGCTTGACAGAGCTCTTTTGTGGGTTAAAGATTTTTGCGTGCAAGTAGAATTTCATCACTAAATCTTCAAGAGCTTGAACCGTCTACAAGTGTCTCAGTGCCAGGTGAGATGTACTGCTGTAGTTTTAAGAGAGGTTTTCAAGATCCAAACAGAGGTTTTTCAGATCTTCTTTCATTTGACAGAGTGCCCTCTTGACTTTCTGAGGTGTGTTCGTAACCCCTATGCTGCTTGTGACAGGGTCATAGTGTAGAGAAAAAGGCTTCTTGATCATCATCACGTAATTTCTGTGGAGGAAAAAAAGCAGAGCTGCTAGTTCAGAAGCCATTTCCCTATGTGTAAAACCTGTAGGACCTAATTTCTCAGTATGTAGTTATGGACTTAGCAGGGAGGAGCGGCTGCTGTGACACCTCCTCGCTGTTACTCCTTTACATCTTCTGATACAGTACATCCTCCCCGCAGCTGAACTACTTACAGCCCAAAAGATCCCCAGTGCCTGCTTTTCAGTGTGGCTGGCTCAGACCCTCTGTGCTCTTACAGCTCTACGTTAACACAATTCAGAGTTATTACAACCACAAGCTGAGGAATGTAGGAACACAGCATGTCTGCCGCCTTCACTTCCAAGAAATAACCAGGAGTAGGTCGCTCTGCGTAAAATTCTAAAACCCTGTTGATACTAGGCATCCTGGGCTATTTTGCTGTCTCTATTAAAAGAAAAAACACAATTTCTTGCCATTTTTGACAGTGTTTCCATTAAGTACATGCTGGTAGGAACCCCCTGTACTGATGTTGCCTTATGTTTTCCATTCTGACAGATTCTTGTGCCTTCAGTTATTTTGAGCGGCTTGGCTGCACAACTATCCTGAAAAAAATGTATGAAAAAGCTTCAAGTCTGAGAATGGTGTATTCCTTGTCCTTGTAAGTTCTTTTCAGGTTTGCCAGAGTCAAATGCTCTTGAAAATCCTCTCCCTTCTGCCAGTGAGTTCTCAGCCATGTTTTTACACACATTAATAACTTAATGTGGACCTTCAGATTTGAGATGAGGGGCCTAATTTGCCATTGATATAACCCCAGTATACAGTGCTTTTGGGGAAGAGGTCGGGGGAGGAGGGAAGAAGTCTGGCGCAGGTTCTCTTCCTGTAATAAATTCCTCATTTCAGCTCCTTCATGCTCCCCAGTAGCTCCACAACTAGCCTTCCGCCTCCAGCCAGAATTGGTCATGTTGTTCTAACTGTTGGAGATGAAGGCCAGAATTTAAACCCTGCTTACTTTAAAAAAAAAATTTAAAAATAAGTCCTCATTGTGTAACATAACCTAGTCAAAGAAATGCATTTAGAAACACCTCAAGCTAATTTGAAGTAATGTTATTTAGGTTGCAGTCAGCTACTTTGTAGAAATTAGATTGCCTGTGACTGCTGATTCTGCATTCTTGTGCAGATATAATCAGAGGAGAAAGGCAATCTTGTTTTTAAGCCCCCTGCTGATCCACGTTAATTCCTGAGTCTGCTATAAAATTTCCATGTGACCTTGGGTAAATCAGTTCTTCGTGACCTCCTATTTGTATGGACTAGCACAGAGGCACTCCAACTGTGGGATTGCACTCTACTCTCACTATTCAGTTGCTGAATTTATTTCTGAAGTTGCTAAAATGAGGCATTGCTAAGATGAAGCGTAGGACAGGGCATAACAGTAGATAGTTATGATATTCTATGAAGCTTTTCTGAAATAAACAATCTCATGTTTAACTTTGTTACAGAAAAGTCACTGTGCAGATGAAGTGTGCAGTGAGGTATTCTGGCACGGTCATTGCAGTAGTGGTAGATGTATTTGAGATTAGGATTCAAACTGGTGTGGCCCCCCTCAGAGAAAATACTCACAAACATTTTACTTACTCAAGCTTGGCCTTGGCATCTTCCAAATTTTATGCTATGAAATAGACAGGCTGGAAGGCTTGATCCTGATAGGGGTGAACTGCAGTCACTTCTGGATCAAAAGGCTTGTACTCTGGCTTGTTTGATAAAGTGTACTTTGTAACGGGAACAACATAGGTTAGGGCAGGTGAATGAACATAGCGAGAATTAGTGCCTACTGGGCTGTGAAATGCTCTTTGTGGAACTGCTAAAGGCAATGTCAAGTCCTGTTCTTTCACAGGTGAAAGCTGCTTTTCATAATTAGCACTTAATAAACCCAATAATAAATAATTTTCTAAAATAAGAAAAAAGAAAAAAAATATATATCTATTTCCTGTATTGCAGTGACGCATGATTATGTACTATAGCCAAATTCTCAGACAGGGAGCATAAAATCTATGCCATCCCCCCAAATCTGAATATCTAGAAGAAAAAAATAATACCATGCTGCTTTTTTCAACTATTATCATTGAAGATTCACAGTCCTGTGCAGCACTATTCCAAAGTCCCTAGCCCATGTCACAAATCTCACATTTCCTGCTGTACTGAAGAACAGACAGAATGCTCCTGGTATTTTCTGTGCAGCTCCCATGCCACTTAAGCAGACTAAAAGCTCCCCTGAAATTCAAGATACAAATATGCACTATACTCCGTGTGTGTGTGTGTGTTTGTATTTTGGGCCTGCAGAGGTTCTTCTGTATGTTCTAAGGTTCTTCCACATTGTCCCCTCAGTCAGACAGGAGGATTATGGAAGCCACTTATGTCCACACTGCAGTACATAGGTACATCTATCATTTGTTTACACATACTGGAGATACCTTTAAACCAGCCAGCAGCAGAGCTGGTGACAGTGTGATTGCATAGATATTGGTGTTAGTTGTTTAGTACCTGCACAGTGTCCTGAGAAGGCAGTGCAGCTCAGGCTTAAAGTGTGTTCTTGCACAGTTTATCTGCATCTGAAACCCAAGTGAGATAGTTTAAAGCTAGCTCAGATCCAGCAACATTTGAACTGCACCATAGATGTGCCTGAAAACTGTTTTGGCCTCCAGTTGGCCAGGTTGGTGAATGCCATGGCCTCTTTAGTGAAGTATCCTGGGTACAAAGAAAAAGGAAAAAGGCAACTCACCCCAGTCAACATTAAGGCCTTTCAGCCTGGGCAGTGGGCCCCATCCACCTAGATACAGTCTTTTAGTAACCAACCCTTCTTTGAGATCTTCCTGTTTGACTTTCTCTCTTCTTCCCCAGGCTTCAGAAGGCTCCCTTCGCTATCTCGTGATCCAAATGACAACTCCCATGGTACTTGTAAATAACTGGTTAGATTAGGTGACACTGCACAAGACTTTCAGCTCAATCTGATAACTGGAAAAATTCAGACAGTACTCTTAAACACTTTTTTAGGTATTTCACTGAACTGAGCCTGAACTCTCCATCACTGGAGGCCTGCTTTAACCAGTAGGCCAATTTGCTGCAGAACTGGTGCAGAAAGTAATACATGCCTTTTTTTTTTTTTTTTTTTTTAAAAAAAAAAGGAGTATAAAATGCTATAAGATGGTGTTTTTCCTGTTCTTCATTTGCAGTGTGTAATTGAAGAATAAACCTTGGAGAGCACTCATACAATCTAAGATGGATGGTATATACAAACATGAGGCTGCTCTTATAATCTTAGAAGCTCTGGGGACTAACGGAAAAGATTTAAGAAACTCAAAACCTGAAAGGGGTCCCACTATGCTGTCAGTGTTGAAGCAGAACTGAAATCCCATTGATTTCAGTGGAAGTTCAGCTTGAAACCGGATGGCCTTAAAGGCCTCTACAAGTTAAGTACTTGTTGTGCTGCAAGAAAAGCATATGTAGCACTGAGCGCTGCCAGAAGTGTGGTATGAGCCATAAGATTTTACAGTATGTAGGACAGAGTCCAGCTGAGTGTTAACAGGAGAAACATTTCGGATAATGTAGAACAGCTGACAGAACATAAAATGAAATAAACAGTGCAATACCAAGAGCTGTTGGGGAGGAATTCTTACAGTTCAGAGGAGGCAAGTTTGGCCAGCAGTCAGACCCATTACAATTGTTCAGTTTAGACTTGGGGATGATTATCCTGTCCCTTCCAATACCTAGCTGCTGTCATTAAATGATTTCTTAGATAACATGGATTCAAGTTAAAGTCTCGTGCAGAACGTGTCTACCCTATCTCTCACCCTCCTCCTTTCTCCCAGTTTATGCCCTGAGTTTGAGCAGGATCAGCTCATCCACAGAAAATACCTACCTGAAGCTGGGTTCAGACTGGTCAGAGTGGGTGCTGTGGAGAAGAGGAAAACATTTCATAGTCAGGATGTGGTTCCCTGGGTTACAGTCACACACCCGCAGACAGTCAGTCCAGGCTGCAGTTCAGGGATGTTCCCAGGCTCCTTGCTGATGCTAAGTTCTCACATAATACATTAGCTGGATGTACTGCTGCTCACCCTCTCCAGCTGGTTAGATGTTATCTTCTTGTAGCCAACCATGTAGCCTTAGTAACTCATGCCTTTATTGCCTCCTCAGTGACCAAATCATCCTGCTATTACTTGTTCAGAAACCTTCAGTGATGAGGAAACTCCTCCTTTGCGCAGGTTGCTGCAGTGTGTCTGTTTCACATGAGCTGCAGTGAGTCTACCTGTGCCGAATGTGCTGATCAGATAAATTATATGGAATTGAGTCTGGGGACTCCACGCAGAAGCTCACATCTGGGCTCATACTGAGAAGACTGGCACATAATTACCAAGAGGAACAAAGACTTTCTCCCAAGCAGAAGGAAAACTTATCTAGAGCTTTCTCAAGGGTCAGTCTAAGACTGCAAAAAGCTTTGCAAGAAACCGAAGTCTATCATCAGCCTCACTATCTTCCAGTCTTCATCTTCTCTAACAAAACTACCTAGCCACTGATGTATTTCTGAAAAAAAAAAAAAAAAACAAAAAAACCCTTCTATGAAATGGGCACTGCGCTACACATATTTCCTCTCTTCAGCTGTAAAAGAAACTGTTGCTACACGTTTTCGAGTTGCTAGCAGGTCCTTAGGCATACAACCTCAGCACTTTATTCACACTGCCACTGTCTATACTGACGTTAGAATCAGATGCTTATGCAGACTGGAATGACTAAATGGAAACATTTCCATATTTCTGTTTTGTTCCAAATAAAAATCTGTGAAATTAATCAGTCAGCTGTAAAAGGAAGCTTCAGCACTTAAGGCCATAGATATAATTAATTTGTGTACAAGAAGTTTCAGATGCTCAAGGTAAAATCCACAGAGCCCACGAAACTGCTATTCCAAAAGCCACATGGTGATGAACTTGCAGAGCTTAGATAGGGATTGTACAGGGCACATAGCAGCATCTCTGGTGAACTACTTGCCCATCTTCAGACTGCCTTAGGTGTCCCATACAAGATGGACAAACTTCTGAAGGGGTGTAATCCTTCTTCATTACCTGTTAAATATAAATGCTATTACCTCTGCATGTAATTTCAGTAATATATGATAGATGAAGACCTAGGTGGACCCAGCTGTATCAAAAGTTTATCCAGCAGCATTACCCAACAGCCACTGATGATAAAAGTAATGACAAGAATCTGCCACTTATCCACTCAAGGACAGTTACTGCTTCCATTGTCAACCTTAGAGGTAGGGAATTTGAGATGCAGTTATGCTTTTGTGTTATATAGCACAATTTTGTGAACAATCAGTTCTTGCCTACTACTTTAATCAAACGCAGAAGAATTTGCTGGTGTCTGGTGAAGAAAAGTATAGGAAGAGAGGAGAGAGAGTACAAGTCTGGTACACTCAGCTCCGGCCACCAAAAGTGAGCATTTCTAATGCAACTTTTACTTTCATCTGTGTCAAAATTAAACAGAAAAAGGAAATAACATATTGCAGATAGATTCTGTGGTGCGTATTACTATGAAAGCTACATAAGCATTGGAGACTTGATCACCTCTGCCCTTCAGTACCCTGTTTAACATGTAAATGCATTTGATTTAAAACCATAAAGCATTCAGGCAGGCAGAGTAGAATAAATGTTGCTTTGAATTGTGCTTTGATACTGGACCTTTCTGGTTTTACCAGGTCAATAAAATCAAGCCTAGGTTTCCTGTTTGTCGGCTGTGAATATAGCAAGTACTGAAATATTTTCAGGAAAACAGTAGCTTCAGCTACAGATAGACATGTAAACCAGACACATTGCACTGGAGCCTAATTTGTAGGGGAGCTCATTGATCTGCTGTTTCAAACCAGTATGTTTCACTATTCTACGGATGAGTGCTGCAATAGTGCGATGTTCATGAGCAGTCAGGCACAAGGTCGGTTTGCTATGTAGAAAGGGAGGCACGTTTATTTCTCCAGAGGACTAATGAACATGCAAATCTCTCCGTTTATCAAGAAAGCAAACTCCGCAAATCATATACCACAGAGTTTGTGCACAAAAGTCTCCAAATTGCAAGTGTTGGGAAAAAAACAATGCTAAACTTGGCAGGTGGTAAAACGAAGGTTGATGTCTGGGAGGGGTTCCCCTTTCTATATGTTAACTCTCAACTGCCCTTCTATTGGGACTCCTATTATAAATGTCTTGAGATACATTAACTTGTTGTTTCTTCCTTCTGTCCATTGACTGGGAAGCAGTCTGACCCATGTACCAATAAGAGATTTCTGTAATACGTTTATTGTCATAACAATCCAACTGTCTTGAGTTATGGGAGTCCAAGCTGTGCTAATCTAGCCATGATTCCATGTGAATGTATCATGTAGCTGGCTGTTAGGCTGCTGTGCCTGTGTGTTACACTTAAAATATATCTCCCATGAAAAAAAATGATTTCTGGTTTATAAAAATGCTTGAAAAGACTGCTTTTTATTTTTCTTTGGCTCTTACTAATTCCAAAAAGTCATCCAGTATCTGCACAGCTTGAAGCAATTGAGACCTACTGATACCAGATTAGGACTTTTGCACTTCAAAACTGATCATCTGCTTCAGTGCTCTGCAAAACTGAGGAGAAATTCTCTCTCCTATTAGCTGTTTGTCCAAAGGAGAGAAAACCCATAGGCTTTCTGTAACGGTATACAGTCCCTCTTTCCACAGTTAATCTGTCCAGGCAGGGCAGTATCATACCTATGCATGCACATTTTCCTCTACATAAAACTCCAGCTGGGTTTAGTTTTGAAAAGTATTTAGGAATGCAAAATACTAAAGCATTTTCTTTTTTTTTTTTTTTTTTTTTTGTCAGTGCCCATGCTATTTAGAGTTTCTCTGCACTTTATTTGGTCCAGTCAGTCAGTGTCTTTCTGTTTCATAGGTGCATGAACGTCAATGGTATGGACGAAGCAGCAGCGTTCATAATAGGCATAATATTGCCCTCTAGTGAGTAATTCAGAAAGGTACATGAGTTTTATGTTAAAGTCAAGTGTGTTACTTACTACTGGCTAGGAGCCATAAGAAGCATATCTAATATTTTATAGGATGGTTGCTTCTGTTGAATTTCATCTCTGTAGGTAGAAGACAGGTACAATCCTATTGTAGTTTTTCCTCTACTCAGCAGCTTCTGGGAATGGAGAATGAATTTCTTTGCAAAACAGAAATCAGTATTTTAAATCGTATTCTTTTATGTGAGGAAACACTGTTTTGCCTTTACCAGAGAGTTCAGAAAAGTGGGTTATAGAAATCTTTCAATACTAAATGTCTGACACATACCATAAGTTCCCTGTAAGATGAAAGCAGTCCTGCCCCGTAAGCTTTGATCGATCCATTTTGCTTGCAGGGACCAAACTCCACAGTGAACCAATAAAGCTGGTAATAAGAACAACTTGTGAAAAACATTCTCAACAGGCAGTTAATTTTTAAGTTTCTCATTTTTCCTTTAACTTTCTTTAATCCTTATTCCTTAATGTCCTTGTAGCTTCAAATTTTATAGTTGCATATTTTAAGAAGATTATTTTTTCTCTCAACATGTATAACACACACAAATTATAACACGTAATTTTTCAAAAGTTGCCATCCTTCCCATTCTCACTTCCCTCAAAAAATGAAAAATAATGCTAATGATAATTACATGGGTAAATAAAGTCATAAAGTCCTATCCTTTTCTTTCTTTGGAAGGTGTTACAAGTTACCCTGCAACCCCATAGCCCAGAGCATTATAGTCAGTGGTAGCTGACATATTTCAACCCATAGTCCCCAGGAGGACAGATATACCCCCATAGAGGGTTCAATACCCTAGGAAAGGTACTTGAAGGGGCAGTTTCCCTCCTCTTTTGTCTGTATGATAGCATTCAGAACAATTGAAGAATGACTTAGCCCTTAGCAGCAATGTACCCCTTATGATTACACCAATTACATCTTTATCGTGGTCCAGTAGAAAACAAAGATACATCTCTGGATTTTTCTTGCAATAAAGCATGCTTAGGACCATACTTCTTTTTCCTGCTGGGAAGTAGCGGTATAAAAGCAGCTCTCGGCTCTGCCAACCTGTTAGTCTTTTCCTATTATAGCATCTAAGGAAATAGACAGTGGAGGACCAATTCTTGACACAGTCTGATCCCTGAGCAGCTGGATAGGCATTGTGCAAAATAAAACCATGGAAAACATGAGGCATTTCAAGAATATGACTTGGTGTCACAACTCTTCAAGGTTCCTTTGGGGACACATAGCTCTTTCCTGCCTTGTACACAGGGCCAGACATTGGCTTCGGTTTAGGGTTAAGCACTGCATTCTCAGCACCCTTCTCAAAGAACTGCCGGTAGTTTGTAAAATAATGCAAAACTCTATGTTATTCTGCCTATTCTGCCTCTTACTTTCCTTCTCTTTCTTTCTCTCATCTTCTTTCACGTCTTATAATTTTGATGATTTGGTTTTAGCCTGCACATTTACCATGAAAGAAACAGCATGCCGAGATCTTTCTTTCTGCAGAATCCTGAGCTGCTTTCTCTAAAGTTCAGCTAATAATTCTGCATTCTTGTTGTGTTAATAATCTTGATTCTTATTATTTCACAGTGAAAAGTCTTTCGATTACCTCCTCATTTTGCAGCAGGTCTTCTTGGGTGGAGAATGCGACATGGGAGGAGGAGAAATACTTGTTAGTGTTTCCTTGGATACCTTGTATTTGGCTTTTAGTTAGTGAGGTTCTTTTGGTTCTCTCTGTTTTAAGAGGGTACAAGACAGGGCACTAGTGTCACTCTGTGGATGACATAAACACTGGCAATTTCCCACCTCTCGTGCATGGATCCACATGCCTAGAGAAGTCCAGGGACTGAATGAAATAACGGCATTTCAGAGTTTTTCTTACAAATATAAGGCATAGAAACAAGCAAAGTTGAGATTCTTTAAATAAACTTTTAGTCAGTTTAAACGTTGTTGTATCATCTAAGCTGGTTACCTACATTCTCTTTATAAGGAACAGAGAATGACAGGGACATCCACAGGGAAAAATGTGTATACATTAGACATCTATGTCAGGGGAGCTAATACGTTTCAGGTTCTTCTCTATCTTCACTTTCTAGTGAAGGAACTTAAACAGTAAGACCGTATTAGATGTCTAACTTTTAAACAGTTGAAGATTGAGATGTTAATCCAGAATATGTTTACTGTTCAGCGTGGCACTTACAAAATTGTATCGTCACAGATCCTGAACTGCAGGTAGCCCTTTCAAAAAGATGCCCTTATTCTACCTCCCCAAACCCTAGCTGATACTATGACAATTTCAGATATGGGACCCATCATTCTTCTAACCTTAGCCCTATCTCTAACCTAGTCTTAGCCAGGGAAGGGTGCTTGCAGAGGAATGCCATGTAAAGCAGTGGCCTTCACCCAATATCACCAAGACCTGGGTAACAATGCAGAATGGCTCTCTGGGGCTCATAGTTCTTTTAACCCTAGGAAAGGCACGGATCTTAATCTTACTCTAGTCTCTCTAGACCCTGAGAAGAGAAATTGCAGAGGAAATGTGGATGTGTCACTGCCTCTTCCCACATAGTCCCCTCCCAGGGGGCACATCACCAGCCCAGGACCTGGATGGTGCTACAAAAAATTCAACACTGGTACCTTTTGCTCTCCAAACTCTAAAAATACCACAAGCCTTACCTAATCCTGTCACAAGGACAGATACGGGCAGATAGATTTTAGGTAAACCTTAATCTCCTTCACACGGTGCCTCATTCTACTTCACCATGAGTGGGGCTGTGGGCTGGGTGAGGAATTTTAGGAGTGACAGTCTCCTCCCATCCACCTCCTTTCCTAAATGAACTCCTCTCCCCACCTGAAAAAATCATGAAGACTGAGAAGTAGCTGTCATCCTGCCTCCAGCCCACTTTCAGAATAATTTAAGATGGCAGCAAGGGGCTGCCTGAGTTGTTTTGGCAGTTGTATACAGCCTAGTGACTCAGAACCAAATGACAGTACCTGTTCTCAAATCCCTTTTAAGTGCACACCTATTTTGTGAGATCGATGAATACAGGTTGAATCAAATTCTGATGGCTCCCTGCACCTTGTATAGGAAAAAATGCAGGAATCACATTGCGTATCTAGTCTATTAGGTGAATCTGGAAAGTAATTTGGGACCCTCCTGTGGCTGAAATTGTAGAAACTCAGTTTCAGCAACGTATTCTTATAAAAGCAAAAAAGCATAAGCATTTCCTTAGGTGGAATCACATGCCTGTGGGCTTCCTCAGGGGGACTCCAGCCCCTGCTCCAGCATCTCCCTAACCTGTGGATGAGGAGAAGAGACAATCCTCCTGATCCTCCCATTTTTGTAGCTAACCTGAAACAATGGAGAAGAGCCTTCCCTGCACAGTAAGGGATGCTCAGTGAATCGTTTAGGCTTTGCCTCTGATATTAAACTGCCATCTGTAGTTACTGCGGCAAGTTTCTCAATCTCCGCTTCAGATGATCCAAGAAAAGCTAGTCCAATATCCTAAAGCAAGTAAGCAAGCAGGCAGTGTTACACTAGTGTGATTATTCAGCCCTAGGGAGAGAAAGAGGGGAAGAGGGAGGACCACAGCATTTCTAGCATGAATAGCATGAACTATTCATTGTTTTTGTCACCCAAAATGACCTTCCATGGCTTCCAGAATGCCTACCTCTCCCTGGCCCCCGGCTACATACCACTGGGAGCCACATTAGATGAGTGTTTAATCCTCAGCATTCTCTGCATAAAGTTAACCATCTCTTGGCTTAATGCTGGACTATCATGGCAAAGTTTTATAGGGAGGCGTGAGAAGGAAGGACAGCAAGGTGGGTTTTATCTTTGCCATTACCTTTCTGTCTCTCACTCTTTTTCTGACAGCCCTTATGAGTGGGTCAGATCCGTGCAGGGACGATTCTGTTTACTCTCATCTGTGCTCCCTGTTAATTGTTATTCTCACAACGGAGATCCGTAGATGTCTCTTCTTAGCTATTCCGGGAGCCATATCATGCAGCAAACAAACAAAAGTAAGGCATTTTCACCATTCATCATCTCATGTTGAATTGAACGGAAAACAATTTTCATGGGGTGAATTTTAACTGTGAAAATACTTTGTGGAAAAAAAAAAAAAAAAAAAGTGAAATGTGAAAATTCATTTAAGGTGATCCCATGTTGTATAGTCTCTGTTATAGAGGGGAAAAGAGGAAAGCTGAAACTTTTGGAAGTGCTGTAATTTCTTATTTCTATTGTGTCTTCAGTTCTGGTATCAGAGTGAACTGAAAATGTTTCTTCCAGAATAAATTATAGACCACTAGGATATTTTAAGTACTTCTCATCTGAATCTGAAAATAACCAATATTTATGACCAAAATAGAAACAAGCATATATCCAAGTTGACACACCTGGAAACCGCATTATATGAGGTGAACTGGCTTTCTTTTTAAGATATTCTGACAGGGACCTATATCATGTAACCCCTCTGTTCTCTACACTGTTTCCACAGTTTCCACACTGACCACTGATTGATAAGACTAGAATATGAGTTATCTTCTTCCCTCTGCTATGGTTTGAGGCACATTCGTGGTTCTGAAGTCTTTAATTATATGAGGTCATTGAGTTCAATTGTGTCTGACACTGACTGCTCATATTAAATAGCCCCTTATTCCACAAAGAAGCCCTGTTTGCTTTTTGGACCCTTCTCACCAGTGTGAGCAATGCTGTGAGAATCTGGTGAGTTGTAAAAGGAAAAACAAGTCTAATGAATGGCACGGTAATAGACACAATTAAAGTATCATGTGAGATAAAAATGTACATCCAGAGACAGAACCAGCCTGGGGGCTTGATGGTTGTTGCTGGTTAGGTTCATGTGGTGTAGGACAGGGAGGCAGAGGAACAGCGTAGTCAGTACAGCTCAAACACGCAGCACCACAGAGGCTTCACTGGCATCCTTCTGCAGACTGACACAGCCCTCCCACAGAGAAGTCCCACAAGCACTGCCTGCCCTTCCTTTTACATGATGTCCATAAGGAGCAGTGCTACCACTCCCTTGGAGTAAATGTCTCCCTAAGCACTGCTATCCCACCACCCATGGAGGTTGCAACTCGGGCACAGTCGTCTTAAAATAGTGTTTCAAGCATGGTAAGCTACATACCTTTGAGGCATGTCTGGCTTGCTATCCGGACCAGTTTGTTAAACAGCCAGCAGAACAAGCTTACCTGTGAGAACTGGGCAAACTGCTTGTCAGCTAACATGGGAACATGACCCAACAACTCATGGCAGCAGTCTCTGGAAAACAAGTGACCCTCATGTTTAATAAAGGTTTCTTTTCCTGCCCTACATGAACTTCCCATGAAGGACTAGCTGATAAACTCCCAAAGGGAGCTAATGTGAGGGCTGCTCCACAGTAGCTGCCTCCATACCTGGCCTGGCTCTGCGGGGAGCATGACGGAGCATTCCCATCTGCCATGGGGAGCCAGCTTCCCCCCTGCTACCTTGGCTATTGTCTCACTTGGGATGGCACAGGCACTAGTCTCCTATGTCACAACATCTTTGAAAGGTCCCTGTTTTGTCCCAGCATACAACAAAAGCGTCTGTGTGAACTTGTAATTTCTCATGAAGTGTAATTGCTGCTGTCTGGCCAGCACTTACTGGGAGAGTTTCACAGCAGGGAATCGAGCCCCAGCAGATGGTAACTGAAGGCAGGATGAAAAGATTAAACCAGATATTCTTCAGTCTTTTCTGTCCCCAGACAACTTTGCAAGAGAGACACAGACCCACACCCTCTCATGCATGACTTCCCCTTCTAACTCTCCCACTACCGGTTTGTCAAATTGTTTAATTCTGTGGACTACTGGATAAAGCTCCAGAGCTGTTCCCAGGAGAATCACACCCAACACATTCAGAAGGATGAGATTGTGCCAGGGTATCTAATTTATGGTTCTGGGGAATGCATTGGAGAAGAGAAAAGCCTTAGATACTGTGTGCTCTGGAAGGCCCGAAATGCCAGGCTGGCAAGGAAGTCACGAGCAGACGGCAGTCCTGCAGCTGGTCTCAGCTGGAAACCTGTTCTCTCTGCAAAGGGAAGTGAGACCGAATTTAGGTGTTTCTAGGGTTACCTGCATGGCACACTTACTTCAGGCAAGAAGTTTCAGGGGACCTTCATGCTCTGTTGTAGTAGCTCCCTCCATCTAAGCACAGCAGGAACATCCTGCCTTATTATCATTATGTGTCCCTGTACTGCGATGGGTTCAATTACTGCAACATCAAACCACCTAGCCATTTATCCTACATGTATTCACATAGGAATGATATGAGGTATGGGAGTACTGCCTGCCCCAGTTTACATTTTGAGCACATTTACACACATTTATCTACTATGTCCCACATGTCAGTGATGTGTCTGAGGTCACATATGATCATTATGATCAAACAGGCGACAGAACCTGCATTTTCAGTTTGGGGTAGTCTATTAATTCTTGGATTATTTCTCTCATTTCCTGTATGAATCATATGTAAAAGAAAAACAGGAATTAGACAAGGGACACATCCCACCCTTACACTTGTCTAAGAGCACCTGGGTCTTCCCTGATGCTGGTTACTGTTCAGTCCCCTCTTACAGACTTTCTTATTCCCTGCACTGAAACCCCTGGTACCTTGTACTGCTAAGACAGAAGTAGGTGGACCATGGGTCTGCTCCAGCCCAGGCAATTCTTATGTTCCTCAATGGGCCTAGTTCAACATACCCCAGAGGCAGAATTAGAGCATACTATTCAACTTAATTTCCTTTTGTCAGTGCATGCTTCAAATCTATAAACTAGCTCAGCACTGGCAAAACTTGTTATCAATTTTATCTTTCTGCCTGGACTTTGTTAGAATGGGAACACAGGGGATAAAGAGCAAATAGATCCTCATCAGAGATAAGGGTGCTGGAATTTGGCCCTTAACCATTTAACATCAGAGTTTCTGTCAGTGCTTTCACCTATTTTTGCCCATCTGTTGGTTTGATTTTTTTTTTTTTTTTATTATTTTTTTCCCACAATTATGTTTGTCTAGAACTAACTACGTGGCCTCCCAGTGATCTGATCGTACGTGTTTTGCTTTGCATGTATCCGTAGAACAGGACAGAAGAATGCGATATTTTTGCACCGTGATTTCATCTTGTGCTGTCAGTGTTACCCCAGGACACCTTCCATTACTACAAAAGGTCTCTGAAAGACAACTAACAACATAATCAGTACTATAGTCAGCAGAATACAAAAATCTGCATTTCCATGGGAAACATGTTGGTGGTCTACAAAACTAAGAAAATTGAAAATCACTGCTTTAAAAGAGAGCCAATGATAATCTTTTTGAAGTCCTATATTCAAAATCTGTGTTGCATTCTCAGCTCCCATAAATGACATTTCATCTTCTTTAAAGCATAATACTACATTTGAAAAAAATTCAGAAATGGCTTTATTCTCCCTTCTCTATCCATATTCTATTGTGTCATGAAGCCTTGAACCTAATTTATTTTATGTAAACAAACAAAAAAATGCCACCCAGAAACCAAGCCATTTACAAGATTTGTTTTGGTTTGTTTTTTAATGTTTCTTCCAGCATTTCTTGTCTTTCTTTGTCTGGCTATTAGCACTTCTCTCATTAAAAAAAAAAAAAAAAAAGAGAGAGAGAAAAAAAGGAAAAACCAAAATGCTTTACTGGAGAATTAGAAGTGACAAAACATCTGGAGCTGTACAGGACAAAAAAAATGAGTGAACTGCAAGAAATGCTTCTACCTGAGGATGAGAGGGACTAGGTGGTTAGCATTTGCCATTGTTTTGCTCCACGGAATTAAAGGCAGTGGGTACAGAACTGCCTCAAAGCTGAACAACAGGAAAAAAACAAAACAAAACAAACCAACACCAAAAAACAGAGAATATGTCTTTATCTTTGTCTATATGCTGAGCAAAGGCATCAGAGTTAACCAGGGAATCAGAACTGGTTGTAAAGCAACTTACTATTTCCCCCCCCTCCCCAGTTAAGTAAGCAGAGTGTTAGGAGGAATAGAGAGACGATCAGCTATGTCTCCTTAAGCACTGGCCAGGAGCTGGCACAAGAGGGGTACTCCCTTGCTGCTGATGCTGTACTAAGCCAATCCAGAGGAATGTGAAAATTTGGGCTAAATTCTGAGTCTGAGAGAAGTGAAAACTGCACCAGCTGAAAAACGTATCAGATGAGAACCAATCCCTAAGTAACTCAGTTTTGGAAGGACTATGAAAGAGTCTAGGTAAATTTATATTGCTTTAGCATCCATGTTGAGGAGCGGAAGGGAAAATGAAAATTACAGCTTATGTTCCCTGAGATGCCCTTTTAAATATAGGCCGGTGAATCAGACAGTCTGCTGATGGAACAGACTTGGCCAGTTGCCTTGAAAAGCCATAGGAAAAAGTTATCTGCCGAAGGTAATAGCTACAAAATCTGAACTTCTATTTCATTACTGCACAATAAAACCAGCAATCAGTAGAGAATTGGGGGTGTGGCTGATTGGACCTGCTGCCAAGTGATCTCTGAAATCAAAATTAGTTGAAGAGAAGGTCTTGAGCAGTTGACCTAAAGTGATCTGTAAGGCTTAATTCTTGGACAAAAAACCTCATGTATGCAGGCCTGTGCGTTGTAGTGTGAGCTTGCTTCAGTTTGCTGGCTGTAATTTCTTCCAGCTGTGGAGGACAATGAATGCCTAAATCCAAACATCTTTCCTAGAAAGAAAGATGTGCCTAGGTTCATTTAGTTAACCCTTTAGAAAAGCACTTACCATGTTAAACAGTCATATGATAAACCATTTAAATTCTCTTTAAGTAATTATGAAATACTTATGATGTAGGGTTAATTTCTGTTCAAACCAGCCTCACTAGCAGGCCAGGTAACACTAGACAGATCTTGTAGTTCAACTTGTATTGAAGTAAAAAAGAATTGCTTGCTTGTGTTCACAGATACTGCTGAGTAAAATAGAAGTATTAAAAGTTTATCTAGCTGTGTGGGCTGGTTATAACATGATCACTTCCTCTCCAGGATATCCCTCTCTCTCTCTCTCTGCATCCCTACAGTTTATTATATTCAAAGCTGTGCCAGGAGAGTTTTTTCAAAGCTGCACTGGGGGGGTTTAGACTGGACATTAGGAAGTATTTATTTACAAAGAGGGTGATCAAACACTGGAACAAGTTTCCTAGAGAGGTGTCAGTGCCCCAAGCCTGTCAGTGTTTAAGAGGTATTTGGACAATGCACTCAACAACATGCTTTAGCTTTTGATCAGTCCTGAACTGGTCAGGCAGTTGGACTGATCATTGGCAGATCATTGTAGGTCCCTTCCAACCAAATTCAGTTCAGTTCATTTCATTTCAGTTCTATTCTATTCTATTCTATTCTATTCTATTCTATTCTATTCTATTCTATTCTATTCTATTCTATTCTATTCTATTCTATTCTATTCTATTCTATTCTATTCTATTCTATTCTATTCTATTCTATTCTATTCTGTTCTATTCTATTCTATTCTATTCTATTCTATTCTATTCTATTCTAGTGTTCTATTCTAGTGTTCTATTCTATTCTATTCTATTCTATTCTATTCTATTCTGTTCTGTTCTATTCTATTCTATTCTATTCCATATAAAGTCTTATAATCACATATGATAAAGAATGGTCCAGTCCTTAGAGGCAGTATTTAGCAAAGATACATGCTGGGATTTATGTCCTAAATGAGTGAGTGGGACACTTTGGGGCTTACCCAGAGCTATCCAGTGGCAGGAGGAACTGCACTATGCATCTCCACATAGGCTGTAGTTGGAATACATGGCAAGGAATTTGGGGAGACACATCACAGCCTACAGTTTTATTAAGTTTGATTGGTTGAGCACTGCTCACCTGTAACACAAGAAAGAGCCCAAGCACACAGTTGATTGATGAGTTGTAAGGAGCAAAAATTCTGGCCTTGCTCACACGGATGGTAAAAGCCACCCAAATCAGTAATAAATCAGAAGTCATAAATCATAGCCCTCACCCAGTGGCTGCTTGGAATAAGGCTGTCTTTAACACAGATTTTACAGACCTTGAAGATGCTTCTGACTCAGACTGAGTTTGTTACAAAAGGACCTTGCAATAATGTCAATCTTCATGCTATTCTAGAAAGTATTCTGCATAGTGAAATGACCTTATTAGAGGGAATCATTGAAGATAAGTAAGATATCCGTTCAAAGCCCCATATAATAGGACTAAAGTAGCTTACTCACTCTTAATTGTGTCTAGCTGTAAACACAGATCTTTGGAACAAATGTTGTTTCATCTGTGCATAATTTTTACAAAGCCTGTAGGCTAAACTAGTTCAGATTTTATCTACAGTTAAGGAGGTTAGGACCAGTCCTCCCAAGAGCCATTCTTTCCACTTTCCTTAGACACCCATTCCAGGATGGAATAAAATGCCTCTGAAGTGCCTGATTCTCATTCCCAGTCAGAATAGTTCAGGTAATTAGCTTACACTAGACAGCCTATGTTTATAGTAGATTAGTTGAAACTCATTGTGAACATCTTCCCAACCATTATTAGCAGAATTTTCAGAATTACTGGTTTTACTGCATTTTTTTTTTTACTTAGAACAATTTGTATGGCATAGAGAAAATTCAGAACCAGAGCCTACAAAAGAAGTGAGCAGGCCCAGACTCCAGGCAATCAAACCCTGCTGACCAACATAAGAAATACAAACATTATTATGGATATTCTTACATTATCCTAAAATCTTCCACTTTGAAATCACCTGATTCACTTAAGGAATATGAATATCTGTGATAATCACATCAGCATCACATGATTTCTGGAGCTGCCTGCTGTCAGCTACTGGGTAAATGAGATAAGATGAGATCATGAGATCTCATGAGAACTACTTCATGAGAAAAAATATTTATCAGCCCAGTTACTATGGGAGGGAAGTAAGAGGGGTAGTTGAATAGAAGGGAAAATACATAGTGCATACACAGAAAAATTCCTGCAGCTGGATATGATGGTGCTCATGAGGAATACTTTTCATATGCCAACCCTCCATTCCCTTACACTAACGGTGCAATAAAAATTTTGTCATCCAAACACCTTAATCTTCCCTAAAAATGGTAATGTCTCAGAAAACTCTTCAGCAGCTGAAAGCTGATGCAAGCTTACTAGCGTCATCTGCTGATACATGGAACAGGTCACTTGATTTCCTGCATATTTTTTTTTTAATTAATTTATTAAAAGCTAAGCCATACTTTTTATTATTTGTTTCATCATTGTGATCAGCTATCCTTCTCTCTGGCACACCTCCTTATGACAGAGAAAGAGCAAGGAGACTTTAAAACTCCCTTTCTTTTTTCATTCTTGTTAATGGTAGGAAATCATCTAGTTGATATAAAGCACCTGGTCTCGGGAATCTGTGCAGCTTGTGGCCTCATAAAAATAACGCAGACTCCCTTCTTTTCCTGCCCCTTTCTAGGCAGCTCCCAATTAACAGCAGGTAGGTCAGCCTAGCAGTCTTATGTTTCTTTTCATTTAAGGCCACATCTTCACGCATTTACAGACCGGCACTACAGCCTTTCTGCTCTCTTGTCAGTCCATGGTAGTTGCCAAAGAGTTTAGTGTGACAAGGGGGAGCACAGAGGCAGAAAGAAGCAGTGTTGTTTCAAGGCAGCTGCTGACTGACTAAAAGGACCTGATGGAAAACATTACGTCTAGTACGCATTACCATTCTGTCTCATGCATCAGAGAAAAATGGACTTGAGAGGTGTGTACCTGTATTTGTGTTTGAGTCTTACTAACGGCATAGCTATAGCAGCATAAAATACAGCCAAAGCCCTAGAAAAGCTGTGCATGGAAGTCATGCTGATCAGTATGCTGCTGTGGCTGTATTGCTGCTAGGACTGGAATTAGCTGGTTAGTGCTACATGAACTGCAGCTACTCACAGAGCAAACACAAATTTACTTACAGCTTGGTCTCTAGATATGCCTGGTATTAACGCCCTGTGCTACAGATCATCTTGCATGAGGGAACTTTACAGCTAATTGGCTCTGCTTACCAGGTTGGGACCTAAGAGATGGTTTGTGTGTTTATGTGGCGTACAAACATATCCAGGAAACCGTAGAATAAACCACGGTTCATAATGACTGACCTTTTAAAAATCCGAAGACGTCCTGAAGTTTAGGTATGCTATCCTCTTGGTAGCCACAGTATTTCTCCAGCTGCTGGAAGGCATCCAGGTACTGCATACAGGCATGAGTAGGGTAAAGGCTGCTCAGCTTCCTGTAGACTTCTCTCCTGAAAAACAAAAGCCATACAGTATGACCCACCTCAATAAAGCAGTTCTTATCTGCCCATTCTGCAGATCCACAAAGAGCCATAAACCCCCACCGCAGGTCTAAAAGTCTGAACTCAGGACACCTGGTGCTTGGAAGTTGATGTCTGGGTGGATATAACAAAGCGTAAGGGGCTTTTTGTTTCACTTTTCCTTCAGAAGCTGGGTTCTGTTCAGCAAATCTGTTTTATCCCTTCGTACATCTTCCTTTAATGTAGCAGGACTCTGATGCTGATTCAGAAGTGTTTCTTGCTTAGGTATAAGGGTGTTGGAAGTATCAGGGAAATCCCAGGGACAATGCTGAGGCTGTGGCCCTCTTTATATTGTGCAGTTTAGGGATGGAATGAGTCAGATATTCCCTTCCTCTCTACACTGGGGTGCAACTGTAAATGCCAGTCCCTCCATCTCCATGCTGAAGCCTAGCCTATATTTATCTCTTACAAAACTCCCCCTAAAAAAGCACATTTTCTGATACTGAAGAGTAACATCTGGACAGGCAAAGAGATTCATATTTTTGCAGTTCAGCATACCTGGCATGGGCTATGTATATGAAAGACATGCCAACTTCTTGAAGCATTTAGCGCATTATACAAAAAGAGACCAGCTGAAGAAAAATATATATAACCGGATTTGGGCACAGGCTTCAAGCTTCTCCCAAACTTGATGGTGCCTGGATTTAGAGCTGTGGTTTGGAATATATTTAGCTATTGCAAAATAAACAAGTAGTAATAGGATGGCAAAGGACCTTATAGAAATGGTTATTTTTGTTCAGACATGGCCCTAGGGTGTTAACAATTTTATAAACATTGTTTTATGAAAATTGAGATCATTCTTGGAAATGCTGGCTATGGAAAATGACCTTTTGTTGTTTTTGTATTGTTTTTTTTTTTTTTTTTTTTTGTGATGCTATTGTTGCTATGGAGGTGATAGCCAGTCCCTGGTAATGGCTCTCTTCATTTGTACAAATGTCTTACATTGTGTGGGAATAATGATCCAGAATGAAGGGGGGGAGAAAAACCTTAGGAGGGAAAAAAATAAAAGAACAGAGAGAAACAGTGGCTGCTGTCACTATTGCAAAAGCCACAGGAGACTGGGCCATTTCCATAGAAGAATTAGGAAAAAATGAGCAGGACTAGAGTTCAAGTATTGCCCTGGCTTATTTCCCCATAGAATACTACTGACTTCAGTGGGATTGCACAGGATCTGAACCAGCACACAGTTCATCCCTCAAACTGGAGTCTAGAGAGAGTCGGCTTGTTTACACTTCTGCACATATGGTCTCTTTCATAAAAGTATCACCCTACTGTCTGTCCAAACGCTGACTTCCACAGAAATGCAGGCAATCTCAGAGACCAGTGATGAATTATCCAAAGCTAAGTGTCCCTCCTCTCTAAGTACCTCTAAGGCAATCATCTAAATTCACTCCATAGTCAAGAGAGTAGCAGATATTTTCAGACAACAATCTAGCTTGCCCTAATGTAGTCTCAGGTAGGTGTAATGCCTCACTGTATGGAGGTGCTATTACTTAAAGGACCATTAAGCTGATACCTTATGGCATTCCAGTCCAGAAATGGAAAGAGAAACTGCTGAAATCATAGTCTATGAAATACTCTAGGAAGGAGCCTCATAACAAAGGATGGAGCCAGTCACTTGAAAGACTTTAAAGGCAATGACCTTATTTGCATAATTTTCCTTATTCTTCTAGAAAAAGGTGACGCTATTCAACTTTACTGTGAAGATGTGACAGGTGCATCCCCATAATTTTGTCTTAGATTATCCCTTTTTCTTATATAGGTTTTACCCATAAGATGTCTTTTATGACTACTTAGTTTAAGGGCCTTCCAAGAAGCCTGCTTGAAAACAGAATCTCAGATCATCTGTACCCTCTGTTTTCGGAAAGTCAGATTTCTTCACTTGATTAGTTTTCATTTTTATAACTGTGTTGCTACAAACTGAAGGCATCCAACAGCTTTTCAGAGTGAACACCAAGGGAATTTACTCTGTGCTACAAATTTCCTGTTCAATTGCACAGTGCTCAATTAAGTTGTGCTGTAATGCAGCTGACCTCAGGGCACAGCCCCATGGTGCTGTGATAACCGTTGGGGGGTCTAATTTTGGAAACAGCTTTACATAACAAGGCAAGCTGGATTACTGGAGCTGGCTCTTTGGGAAATGAGCAGATACTCCTTTAAAGGTCTATTTCGTTACCACAGTGGGACTAATTCTAGGTGGAGAAGGGCTGGAATGACGGAGGTTGGCAACAAGAGAAAAACAGGAAAGAACACAAAATTAAATTTTCTTAAATATGACATTCCCACACACCATCCCATGCCAAGATTGTTGGCTGGTGGTAACAATCATGAGCATGACACCAACCATCAATCTTTGACAATTGAAAGATGCTATAAAAACCTATTTGAGCTTAATAAAAATGTGCCTGCCTGGATGAGCTGGATGCAAGGCTTCTATGTGGTTGTGGGCAACACCCCACAAGCTTTCTATGGCACAGTAGATATATTTAAAATAAAATAATTACTGAAAAAGATGGGATGGTCCTGTGGTTAAGGTTCTGGCATGAGACATCTAGTGTATGGATTTAATTCCTGGCATTAACATAAACTGTGTATAATTTGGGGCAAATCTCTTAAGGTCTAGATTTTTTAGTTCCACAGTTATAAAATGTGGTCATCATTTTTCCTTTTCCCCACCTTCAGGTTGTCTTTCCATTTAAATTATAAATGTTTTTGAACAAAGACTCTTATTATGTGCACATGCGGCACCTTGAACGATCCTGGGACTCTGCTCTTAGCTGGGACATTTAGACATATTTATGTTTGTATTATCATACAAATGCCTGGTTATTGCTGGTTACTGAGCTTTGTTAAAGTTAGTGGGAGAAAGTGGAAGCAGAGATATATGAAATATATCTGTGTACTTTCAAATCTGCCACATGCTTCACATAAAGTCTGCAAATAAACTTTGAATTTAATTATTTTTTCTGGTTTGTCGGGTTTTTTTTGAGTGGCAAATCTTCAGGAGAAACAAAGTCCCAGTGAAGAAATGCTGCACCCATGAAAAAGTAACTTGCCATCATTTCATATGACATCAAAGGCATTTTTACAGCATAAATAATGTATCCTGGAAGGGAACTAAAAATTTTCCTTTACCTTCTTTTTGAGAGAATGATACCTATTCTTGTTAACAGCAATGAATACTTGCAGGAAAACAAGCAAGACTGATCTTTCCTATGAACATTGGATTAACTGCATCCTATGAGTGATTTTCCATCCTGTGAGTGGGCATTTTATCCTGGTAACAGGTTTGGAAAAGTGGTATTTCTGTCACCCCCGTAGCTAAGGTTAACTAGAGGTCAAAGTTATACTTCAGGCACCAGGTGTTTTCTGGATTATAATATCTTGGTGAGATTGGCAAGCAGGGACATGGTTAAGAAAACACATTCTGCTCTAGAAAGTGAATAGTTAGACCAGCCCTGAGAATAGCTTTCTGCAAAACAAATGACCAAAAGGTTACACTTAACCAAGGTGTAAAATTTGAGATGGATAAATATGGTTTTAAAATGTTAGAACTGTCTCACGTTGCCTGTCTTTCCTGGAACTGCAGTGCAATAGCTCAGGAAGCAGAGTATACGTAATAAACTCACCAAGTTGCAGTCTCCGGTGCTGTGAACTCAATGTGAGGCGAAGGGTCTCCTCTGTAATAAAGAGAGGAAGTAATGCATGTGTCTAAAGCGGGTTTCAAGTTCAGTTTTCCAAGTATTGTTACCATGAATATTTGCTGTAATGTAGAAACAGCAAAATAGTACATAATTAACAACTTCTTTGCCTTGGTAGGCTCTAATGTATATATTTTCTCCTCTGTTCCAGTGTGGGGAATAAACAGAGGGGAGTGATATGGTAAAAAAGGGAGCCATGTTCTGCTTTACAGAATAAAAGAGAGACCTTTAGGCTTACCCTTACCTCTGCTGCAGGCAATCTAGCAACAAAAACATAGTGAGTACCTGAAGGATGTGATCAGCACAGTGTCATCGCAGAGAAGCATTCATAAACTCATCAGCAGAGCACAACCCAGGCATACACTGCGCGGTTATCACTAACTTCTCTGATGGGAAGTCTTCTCTCCTCTTCCTCGCTGTTGCTTCTTCAGTAGCTCTGACTCAGTTCAGTGTGTGCTTTTGTGCTGTTTTGTGCTGCGCTAGCTGTGATATATGGTAGCAGTGAGAGAACTGTACTCAAATAGAAGTCTCTCAAGACTTGGGAGATTTCACCATTTCTTGGACACCATGAGGCTGATAATCCACAACCGGTTCTACCTATACATCTGACCGACTCTGTCAGACAGCAGTGTGATTCTGGAGAAGTTTTACATATAAAGGCAGAAATATTTTAAATCACCCATAAAAGACCCGAGAGGTTTTTAGGTAGCTAATGTACATGGCTAGAAACGTTTTGTCAAATAAATAACAAAAATAGTAAATTGCGTTTCTTTGTCAAAAATATGTTCTTGAACCGTGTTCCTTATAGTTCCTTGCAAAAGAGTAGCCTCAGCTTGGGAGCTAGTCCTAAATGGAACTGTAAAATTGAAATGAAAGGGTTGTATTGAGGAATCACCTCTGCTAAGACAAAATACAGCACTGAAGGAGATGAATGCAATCCTAAATTTTTAATCTTAAAATGTACGTGCTGTGTTGGGGGAAAACTCTCTCATACAGAATGAAAGCTTCTGTGGCTGAATTCTGTTCTCTAAAAGATAGCCCCCTTAATACATTGACAAAAGATCCTCTGGTATTTCTTGCATATAAAGATGTCTGAAAGTGTATGTGGACCACTGAAGTCTCTCTTCAACAGTCTTGTACTTATGCTCTGTAATTAAAGGCAAGGTCAGCAAAGAATGCCCTCCATTTCTTATACTATGGGTTGGCATATCCCTGAGTTAGAAAATAATTTGAAAAATGTTTTACATTAAAAGGGATTTGTGGGTATAAACAGATTTGTTAACAGAAGCATTCAGTAAACCTAGGCCTCAAATAGGTTTTTTTTCTGAGGCAATGAATCTTGAGCCTTATGAACAGGATAAGCCAAAGTCTGCAATCAGTTACATCCATAACATTTTGATGAAATTTTGGGGCCTGTAACTAGAAAGGAAAGTAATACAGCTTGGTGGGAAGGTTTTGGAGTTGTTCATAGACACTACATGGCAGACTATTACACTTATAGTCAAATTTAAATGCAAATCATATTAAAATTTAAATTGAAATAGTGGTCTTACTTCTGCTGTGGAAGAGCTGAAGCTCTGAATCATTTCTTTCCTGCACTAAGCATGAAGGTTGCAACACAGGGCTGTGATGGACATGATGGTACCAAACCAAGTACCACCTCACCAGAGAAAGTATGCTGTGCCTGAACAATACCATTTGCTCGGCCAAAAATGACAGGCAGAAAACGTCTGACATTCGACGCTCAACTGAAAACAATCAGCCAAAACCACCCAATGTTCGACGCTTGGCCGACAACGCCTGACGTTCGAGGCTCAGCCGAAAATGACTGGCCAAAAACGCCCAGTGTTCGACACTCAGCCAAAAACACCAGACTCTCGACGCTCGGCCAAGAACAACCAGCCCAAAACACCCGGCATTCGATGCTCAGCCAAAAATGCCTGAAGTTTGACGGTCAGCCAAAAACGACCAGCCGAAAATGCCCAACGTTCGACACTCGGCCAAAAACACCTGATGTACGACGCTAGGCCAAAAAAGACCGGCCTAAAACATGTGACATTTGACGCTTGGCAGGAAACAACAGGAGGAAAACACCCGACATTCGACGCTTGGCAGAAAACATGTGAGGTTTGACGCTCAGCCAAAAACACCCAACGTTCAACCCTCGGCCAAAAACAACCAGCCGAAAACGCCCAACGTTCAATGCTTGACCAAGAACGCCCGAGGTTTGACGCTCGGCCAAAAACGACTGGCTGAAATCGCCTGACGTTCAGCCGAAAATGACCTACCGAAAACACCCGACGTTTGATGCTTGGCTGAAAACAACCAGTCGAAAATGCCCGACATTCAACGCTCGGCCGAAAATGCCCAACGTTCAACGCTTGGCAGAAAACACCCGATGTTCGATGCTCGGCCGAAAATGCCTGGTAGAAAATGCCCGACGTTCAAGGCTCAGCTGAAAATGATCAACGTTCGAGGCTCAGCCGAAAACGACTGCTATTCGACACTTGGCTGAAAACAATCAGCTGAAAATGCCCAACGTTCAACGCTTGGTGCAAAACTCCCGACATTCGACGCTCGTCCAAAAATGCCCGGATGAAAACGCCTGGCCGAATACAACTGGCAAAAAAGGCCTTACGTTTGACGCTCGGCCGAAAAAGTCCTGATGAAATCGCCTGATGTTTGATGCCTGGCCGAAAGCACCTGACATTTGACGCTCGGCTGAAAACAGCCGGCCAAAAATGCCCGACGTTCAATGACTGGCTGAAAACACCCAACGTTCGATGCTCAGATGAAAACGATTGGCCAAAAACGCCCGATGTTTGATGCTTGGCTGAAAACGCCAGACATTCAACACTCAGATGAAAAAGACTGGCCGAAAACACCTGATGTTCGACACTTGGTTGAAAACGACCGGCCAAAAACACCTGACGTTCAACACTTGGCTGAAAACGCCTGAAGTCTGATTCTCAGCCAAAAATGACCAACATACGATGCTTGGCCTAAAATGCCCGACATTTGACGCTCGCCTGAAAACGACCGGCCAAAAATGCCGGACATTCGATGCTTGGCCGAAAACGCCGGACGTTCAATGCTTGGCTGAAAATGCCCGACATTTGAAGCTCGGGCATGTTCGGACTGGTGTTTTTGGATGAGCATCAAACCTTGGGCGCTTTCAGACGAGCATTTTCTACCGGGTGTCGAACTTTGTACGTCGAACGTCAGGTGTTTTCGGCCAAGCATTGAACTTTGGGCATCGAACTTCTGGCATTTTCAGCCAAGTGTTTTCAGACGAGGGTCGACTGTCAAGCGTTTTCGGCTGAGCGTCAACTGTCGGGCATTTTCAGCCGAGCATCGACTGTCAGGCGTTTTCAGCTGAGCATCTAACGTCGGGCGTTTTCAGCTGAGCATCGAAAGCCAGGCATTTTCAGCCAGGCATTTTCAGCTGGGTGTTTTCAGCCGAGTGTCAAATGTCTGACGTTTTCATCCGAGCGTTTTCGTTCGAGTGGCAAACATTGGTTGTCGAACATCAGGTGTTTTCGGACGAGTGTCAGACATTGAGCGTTTTTGGCTGAGCATCAAAAGTCAGGTGTTGAACATCAGTCATTTTCGGCAGAGTGTCTAACATCAGGTGTTTTTGGCCAGGCATCGAACGTCAGGCATTTTCAGTCGAGATTTTTTGGCCAACCGTCAAACATTGGGTGTTTTCAGCCAAGCTTCAAACGTCAGGCATTTTTGGGTGAGCATCGTACGTCGGCCGTCAAATGTCAGGCGTTTTCAGCCAAGCATTGAACGTTGAGCATTTTCGGGTGAGCGTCGAACATTGGGCATTTTTGGCAGAGCGTTTTTGGCTGCGTGTCGAACATCGGGCATCGAATGTCGGGTGTTTTCGGCCTAGCGTTTTTGGCCAACAATCGAACGTCGGGCATTTTCGGCCAAGCGTCTTATGTCGGGTGTCGAACGTTGGGCACTTTTGGCCAAGCGTTTTCGGCCAAGCATTGAATGTTGGGCGTTTTAGGCCAAGCATCGCACGTTGGGAGTTTTCTGCCGAGTTTCTACCATCATGTGTTTTCAACTGAAAGTTGAATATCAGGTGTTTCCGGATGAGTGTTTTTGACCAAATGTGGAACATCATGAATTTTCGGCCAAGCAACGAACATCGGGCATTTTTGGTCGAGCATTTTCAGCTGAGCATCGAACATCAGGCTTTTTCGGCTGAGCATTTTTGGCTGACTGTTGAACATCAGGCGTTTTCGGCCGAGTGTTGAATGTTGAACATTTTCAGCTGAGCGTTGAACCTTGGCCATCGAACATTGCGTGTTTTTGGCTGAGCATTTTCGACTGAGCATCGAACGTCAAGCAATTTTGGCCAAGCCTTTTCGGCTGAACATCGAACATTGGGCATTTTTGGCCAGGCATTTTCAGCCAAGCATCAAACGTTGGGCGTTTTCGGCCGGGTGTTTTTGGCTGAGTGTCGAACATTGGGCGATTTTGACCGAGCGTCAAATGTTGGGCATCGAACATCAGGCGTGTTTGGCCTAGCGTCATACGTCCAGCGTTTTTGGCCGAGTGTCGAACTTTGGGCATTTTCAGCCAAGCATTTTCAGCTGAGTGTCAAACTTCAGGTGTCGAACTTTGGGTGTTTTCAGCCGAGCGTTTTCGGCCAAGCGTTGAACGTCGGGTGTTTTCTGCCAGGCATCGAACGTTGGACATGTTCAGCCAGGTGTTTTCAGCTTAGTGTCGAATGTCTGCCATTTTCAGCTGATCGTTTTCAGCCGCGCGTTGAACGTCAGGCATTTTCAGCTGTGCATTTTTGGTTGAGCATGGAAGGTCGGTCATTTTGGGGCAGGTGTCTAATGTTGGGCATGTTTGGCCGAAAGTTTTCAGTCAAAGGTCACCTGCGATCAGATGTCAGAGGTCACTCCGGGGTCAAAGGCCACCTTGGGGTCAGAGGTCAAAAGTCACCTGAGGTTAGAGATTAACAGTCACTTTTGGGTAAGAGGTCAAATGTCAACTTGGGGTCAGAGGTCAAGGATCAACTTGGTGTCAACGGTTAACTTGGGGCAGATGACAAAGGTCATCTGGGGTCAGAGGTCAAATGTCATCCTGGGGTCTGAATTGAGTGGTCAGCCAGGGTCATTGGTCAAAAGTCACCCTGGTTCAATAGTTAAAACCCTGTGGTGCCTCTTGCTCATGAGATACCTGCAGGTGGTTGTCCCCGCCCCTTTCCCAGGGGATTGTGGGAGGGGTGGTGGGTGGGGCCCATGCTAGAGGAGCACCAGCCTCTACTCAGGGGGCTCATTCTGCTGTTGAGTTTCTTGGGGCTCCCCTGTTCCTGCCCTTGATGGCAGCTTTGGAGCTGCCTAAGTTTTTTGGACTGAGATCTTTTGACCTTCAGAGGAGCATGCGTGTTTTGTGGTAAGAGCTTCAGGATGAAGCAAGGTTGAGCACCGTATGGAGTAGAAAGTAGACTTGTTTGTCGCTTTTTTGTCATCTTTTTTTTCAGGAGAATGATTTTTTTTATTGAGTGTTAAGGGATAGCAAGTTGGTTTAATAGATTGTTCTTCCTTTTTAATATATTATATTTTTTTTCCATATTTTCTTACTCCCCAGCACTCTTAAAATTTTCCTCTTTTAAATGATTTGTCCTTGGGGTTTTTTTAGGAAAAAACCAGGTAGTTTGCAGGGGGTCTGTTTGGGGTGCAGGGGGGCCAGGCAGGGTGCATGGGGTCTGGTTGGGATTCACGAGGCCCAGAGAGGTCGCTTGGTGTCCGGTTAGGGTCGCAGGGGGTCTTGTTGAGGTTCAGGGGACCCAGGTAAGGTCCAGGGGGTCTGTTTGGGGTGCAGGGAGCCCCTCCAGGGTACAGGGTTGACAAGAAAGGTGCAGGGTGGCCAGAGAGTTTGCAGGGGGGCTGTTTGAGGTGAAAGGGGGTCCAGACAAGGTGCAGAGGGTCTGGTTGGGGTGCAGGGTGTCCTGTTGGTGAGTAATCTGTATTCTAATTGTATCAGAGTTGCTGACCGATGGGTGTCTAATAGGAGCGTTTGGAACAGCACCGACCTGTGATTTGGGTGTATAAAAGAAGCACCCCCACCTGCCGTTAGCTGTGCTTGATTTGAGGAATATCCACCGAGCCCCCAGGCCCGAATAAAAGACAGTATTGCTCCTGAGCCTGTTAAAATGACCTTATTGCAGGCCGGGTACCGACAGCTCCCCGCTCCCCACGGGCTCCAGCTGTGGGCTGGGGCCGGGGCAGCTCAGGTGGGACAGGTGAGGTGAGGATGGGACCGGGCCAAGGTTTTAAATAGGCTGCAGCTGGGGCTGGACTGGGGCAGCCCCAGGTGCAGCCGGTGAGGCTGAGGGTGGGGCCGGCCCTGCCGTGCCAAGGGGCTCCAGCTGGAGTCGGGAGGGAGGTTGCCTGGCCGCGGGAGCTGGCTGAGGAGCGAAAGAGAGTTTCAGACGCGGCTGCCCGCGGCGAGGAGCGAGGAAGGATTCCTCCCGGCCGGCCCCGACGGAGCGCAGCACCGGCGCCGGGAGCTCGGCGCCCCCGAGCCGCCGGGTGGCCGGGAAGCCTCGCGGGGGAGGCGC